TCCTCGCAATGGACTGCATAGGTACTCTCAAGTTGAGAAACTTGATCATGGCTATCTTTGGATGAACTTTGCCATGGTCCGCGATCCAGCAGAGTGCTTTCTCAGTGGATTTATGTATATGTGCAGTTCGCAAGTCACTAAAAACTCTTTTTAACTTACATTCTGAAGAGATTATATTTAGAGCGAAGATGGTTAATGAAACTTGTGAAGGTTGCATCGGTGATCTAAAATGTGCGCTTCGACGAACACTTGAGCATTCTCAGAAATTTGCAAGTGGAGACTCATCAGCCGACTCTAATCTTCTTTGGCACCTTGGTCCCCAAAACTGGTATTTCGTTATGTACAGAATATCGATGGCGACATGCGCAATAGACACTTCCCTTAATTACTGACATGCTAAGTCACAGAAAACTTCCTTTTCTTGCAAGCACTGCGACTTACAACATAATTTCAACAACTTCGAGCTTATTTAGTATTCACCAAACGATCCAATCAAGGTGACTGCTGATCTGCGATATGTACTTACGGGTGCGCAGCTAGCAAGTTATCAATTTGAATTGTTTTTGGTCAAAACACTCGTCTTCTTCTGTGATGAACTTTAGTAGGAGGAGTGGAGCCGTCGCACATTGAATTAATATTGGGTTGTTTCAAAAGTGTTTTGACCAAAAAACAAGGCAAATTGATAACGTGCTAGCTGCGCACCCGTAAGTACCCGTTTTCGAACTTTGACTTTGATTCATCATAACTCTTCTCAGAAAAAATCTTTGCAATTGCTATAAACTATTTTACAATCTGCAAATCTTTTACTTCTGAGTACTCTTTAAGATTACTGCAGTAACAGCGGAGAAGATTTTATAGGCGAAAGTCGAAGAACATCCCCTTGTAGAAACCTTCACTTTGCAAAAGCATAACTTGATTTGGAATACAGCTGAGTTGCACAGGCACTGCTCACAGTGTAGCCTATTGTCGACTGAGCAGTATCGCTAACTTTGGATTTCATCAAACTCTTTCATAAAAATTTTGTGCTGAAAAATCCGAAAGGACCCACTTATTTTCCTCTTTCTGAGACGGCAAAAAATGCAATTTTCTGACATTTTTGATGTGTTCGCCGCAGACAAACCAGGAAATCTTTTCGTTCTTCTAGTAGCAGTTGTTCTAGCTCTAATCTTACTAAATAGAGTAAAAGTTCCGCGATTGCAATATGTTTATGATTTTTATGCGACTTGAAGGGACCATTAAGACAGGTTATGTTTGAGCTAAAAATTTGTAGGTTTAAAATTTTTTTGAAATCCTATCTCGATGAGCGTTTCGTAGCACAAATCTCCAGCAAACATTATATATGTTTTGAAGAAAAATTTCTTCCTTTGGCTGTAGATTTCACGGCGATAGAGCAAAGACGAAAATTTTCACATTTGTTCAGCTGTCTTTTCAAAGTAGCAACCACACAGCGAACAAAGATCTATGAAAAATAAAATATGTGAAAAACTAGAAGAAAAGAGCTTTTGAATGATATAAATATTGTTTATGAAAAATTGTTTTTTCCTCCGAAATCGGAAGTTCTAAAAAGGTATCGAAAACGGGTAGAACTTTTGCAACAACCCAATACTTTCCCAAGTATCGAACGGCACGACTTGTCATGCTACAACTCATCTTGCAGAGAAAAGCGTTTATATGAAGCAAATGGAAGACCCAGAGGTGAAGGAGCTGCTAAAAGGTAAGATTCGCACGAACTTATAAGCCCGTTTATTGCAATCTGTTTCTAGCGAATGCATTCCATATTCCAGGTATTCTTTTGGGACTACGTGCTCTTTAACTATCGATTGCCAAAGTGGGAATTCTGAGGATTTGGAGCATATTTCAAAGTTCTAATGTAGCAATCGATCTCGAAAAATGTCTGTGATATGGGTAATAAACTGTTTATTATAGTTGTATATATCATCAACGCATTTGTGCAAGATAGTGTTCGAGCGCATGACAGTTTACTTATACATCTTGCCGACATAACTAGCTGGCTTAACCGGCTCCGCTCGGTCCTGTCAAAAGACTGATAAGGTCCCATCCCTGCACCTGTACAACTTTCCCTGTGCCCACTTCTACGTGCCAATTTCCTATTCCCGCTGTGTTAGTAATCAGCATGCTCACTACCCCCTGTGCCAACTCCCAGCCCTGTAGCTTGAACTATGCAAAAAATCGATAAAATCGATAAAAGTAATCGATAATTCCAGAAACTAATATTGTAGTGGTAATCAGCATGCTCACTTACCCCCTGTGCCAACTTCCAGTCCGTAGAAATCGATAAAATCGATTGATCGATAAGGAAAAGTAGCCTATGACACGCTCCTCGCCCGAAGTATATTTGTCCCAAGTTTGGCCCGAATCGGTTCAAATAAAATTTTTTATTCGGAACATACGTACATACACAAAGAGACATACAGACAAACATAATAACAGACATTCAGCTTTATAGATAAGATATAAGATGATGAACCGTCCCGTTCCTGTCCAGCATTGCCCAGTATAAGACACCCTCCTAGTCCCACCAAACACTAGTCATTTTTTGGTCAAATGTGATCCTGCCTTACTCTTGGCTTTGGCGTTTACCGTAGCCCGACCCACTCTTTTCTTTGTCATACATCATTTCTCTCGCCGGTAACAATCCTGTACAAAAATCGCTACCTATGACCTTTAGTAATTTGATGACGAACGAGGTGATGAGCTGCAACTGCAAGCCTCATTTCAATGTTTCTTTCAGTCATTGCATGGGGTATCCATGCGCCAAGTTTCCCATTGACTGGAGGGGTGATGAGAGACTGTAGCGGCACTTGCAGTTCACTTTCTGGCCAGATCATTACACGTTTGACGGCGATCTTGCTTCTGAGCCTTACGACATCTATCGACCTCCGCGGGTCGACCTGCCCGAGGTCTGTCCTACAAGTCCAGTTGGCCGTCTTTAAATTTACAAAACCACAAAACTAACCAAGCCGTGGATTCGTCTATAATATTGTCTCCGTACACGGCACAGATTTCTCGTACTGTTTCTGCAGGTTTTATTTTTGTATGCAAAGAACAGCAGATGCCGAAAGTGCTTATTTTTACTTTCAGGGAGTTCCATCTTCAAATGCTGACTCAAAGAAAATCAGGTCTGTTATATAGCTGAATGCATCTTAAAGAGCATGATCAACTCTTTCTGATGATATACGAATCTTGCCGTAAATCGACCGCACCTTAAAGATATTAGGATGAGAATGAAAACTTTCGAACTTACGAAACAACACAACGACCTAATAATTTTCACTCATTTCTGCACCACAAGATTTTGATAAAGATGTTTATCTGGTCTTGACAAATATGCAAATCTGCGCAGAATGTCTAGGAATGATTCTAATCTATTCGCATTCACCTATTGATTTCGTCTCCAAAGCGGACCAGCCATCTCTACACAACTCTCATGTTTACTGAACAAACAGTTTTTTTGAGCACTCTCAAAATCCAAATTATATCCTGCTCAAATTGCAGTAATGTTGTCCATTCCAAACATTACTAATCCGATTAAATCATGATGAGAAAGGAAGTCATCAACTTACTTAGTGAGAGATTTTTAGAACTAGTTGATCAAAGTTATTACTTTGTGAATTTAATGTGTCGTTTTCTACAGTAATTCTTTTAACTGGAAAACCGTTCAACTCCATCACCAATTACGAACAAGTTTCAGTTCGAAAGGGTTAACTGCGGGATCAATAGCTTACGTATTGGGCAGAATATGAGAGTGATTACATGTTGTATCATGAACTTCCACTAATTATTGCTACTTTAACACATTAGAAGCCAAACTTTATATTGCCAAGTATTTTCAGTCTCCGCCTCTATTAAAAGGGTTTAAGTTCAGTATCATTTGACGATTCTTACAATTCAACCCTAAAGTCTTTGGAGTAACTGGAACAAACACTTCTCCGATGATCAGTCTAAGCTCTACAGCAAAGCAAATGGATTAGCTGGAAGTGAATTTTGAATTGCATTTCATACGCAAATCACCAGACTTGAAGAAGACGTTCAACTTTGAAGCCATAATGTTCTTGTGACTTTGAAAAACAAGAGATTTCATTTGGCAAATACTACATGTCTTCTAAAATGTGGTTAATATTCACTTTCCTATTTTCTCTGATTATATGCACTGACAGTCAAAATGTCACCAGGCCAAAGAAAACGGTAAGCTAATAACCTAATGTTTGATTCAGATTGTACATCAGTTCTCTAGGAATTGAAACCTTTCTTGTTTTCTTAGACAAGTAATGATTTATTTCATTTCTGATATTGTGCTGAAATTATTCTGATCAACTTAACAACAAGAACAGCAACATAAGTTTTACAATTTAAAAACGATTTCTTTGGCCATAATACATGTTACACTTGAAATCCAAAGTAACATTATGAATGATTTTTTGAGTGTAGCAGTGTAAATGTTGTTATTGTTTTTTAGGCTGATCAGAATTTACTAAAGAGCACAAATTTCCAGCCTCCACATTGGCACTAATGCTCCCAAATCTCATAAAGAAGATTAAAAAGATAAAAAAGAGCGGATATTTTGAAAGATAAGGAGAAGATAGAGTATGAATATTAATGCAGCATTGTATTTGTAATTACTGTAACTCAGGTCCAAAAATGTAAGAAATGTCGCCAATGTTCAAAGCAGATACTTTTGCAGATTATTGTAACGGACCATCTATGACACACTTTAGTACGCGCTTCATTAGATTTGGGTGCAGCTTGTTTCACTAGGCTTCTTTATCAACCCCCCTCATACACCGACATAATTGGCAATTTCATGTTCATTTCTCAAAAAATGAAAGTGCCTAGAAACAAATCTCTTCTACTTTCTATATATAGTTGAAGCACATTTATATGCCAGAGTAGGGTAAGTAGCAGAAGAATGCTGACATCTTCATGTGTGAGCGGGAATGCAACATCTACTGTTCTTATCCTTGTACAATCTAAGCGTTTAGGTGACCGTGGGAATTATTGCAAGTGAACATATTCTTCCTACAAGCATAGCATGGTCATTATGCGGAGGTGGTCTTGGTTTGGCCTACGACAAGCTGAGACAAGATTACAATTTTGACGACTTTGAGTTCAGGTAATTTTTTATGGACTGAACTTCAAAACAAAATATCAAGTTGATGTTGAGTTTAATAAAGGTTTCCAAGTATTCATCAACTTGATGTTTTGTTTTGAAGTATTTAAAGCATTTCCAAATAGCCCAGTCATCGCCTTATAATCCTTGATTTACTCAGATTTCTTATCGGATACAGCGACTGCGACCTTGCCACAACGCTTGGACTTGGCATCGAGTACATGTCGCGACAAAATGCTGACGTCGTTCTCGGACCACCATGTCCAGAAGGTTCATTATACACAATCCGACCAGAGCTAATCGAAATAGTGTAAGGGAGCGAACTTTGCTATTATGGTCCGCCTTCGCGGACAAGTGATCATTTGGCACTGTTGTTGAATACTGTATGTGGACCAGCTCCGCGGAGGCGGTACGAAATGAGGAGTTCGTTCCCCTATCCATTGAAGTATATCGAAATCAGAAAGCATATCCTAAAATTACAAAATTTCCCACCAATCTATACCGTATCATTATAAAGATTTTAGTTTCTACTATTAAATTAGTATGGATGGTCTCGGTTCATAGCTGCTTATGAGGGAGGGTTACAGTAGCGCTTACACCACCGTAATCTACAACCATAGGTAGTAAGCTCAAATATCGGGTGACCGTGGCTTCTACAAAACAGCTGGAGCTCACCTGGATTGAGATTAAGCGAAAATAGCTAAACTATCTAGCCAAGTTACGGTTAGTGTACTGTAGGTGCAGAAAATGTACTCACTGAAGTTTCTTTTCTCTCCTTCTACGGGCACAAATAACCGTTCAGCAGGTCTGATAATGGCACATCTGTCAAATGTCTATAAAAAAGCATGGTTGGGATGGGGATACGTCAACAATCCAGAATTCTCTCTTGCTGACAAGTATCCGTTGGTTTCGACACTTGCAGCTTCTGCAGCTACGTAAGTTTTAATTTTGAAGCACTTTTTCATTAGGTAACACGGGACTTTGAGCAGGGTAAACCGAGATTTTTTCTCAAGTTCGCCCCTTCCCCCTCCCAGTAATGAAGAATTTTCTAGTGTGAAGATTTTAGGGTAGGCCAATGCGCTTTAGAAGTGATAACTCGATTTCGGTGGGACATTGTCTCAATAATCTACACAAGTAATGAAGTGCGATTCTGCGACGACATAATGGACTCCTTAATGGTATCCCCAAAGGTTTCACTTTTCCAAACATAGCAACAGTTCAGAATTCACTCAGCGATGCAAACGCTGCTTTCGCGCCTAGAATTGCTCTCAAGCAAATCGTAGATCCGAATGATGATGAATCCTTCAAGCAAACCTTACGACAGATTAAGGCTAGATCACGTGGTATGTTTGTGTTTGACTTCATGCCACGGATACTGAAACTTGATTTAATTTCAGTGGTCATTTTTTGTATGGACCTCATAAGTGATCGGCGCGGGTTCCTGATAAAAGCGGACCAAATGGGAATGACGAATAACGAATACGTATTTTTCATGCTGGGATTACGTAGCAACGCTTTTGGTTAGGCCGTTCTCCAAAGGCACATTAAGCAATTCGGAATGTCTGGCTTGAGTGGACACTGACTGGCCCTGAATAAGCTACTGCCCAAACGGCACCTCAAAAAGTCGTTTCGCGCTGACAAAACCATCTCTAAACTCTCGTCCAGTACCGTACTCGAAAACTATGATTGGTTCCATGGTACCATAGTGAAAAAGGGTTCAAAACTGAATATGTTACCCGTGATTTCAAAAATTCAAACCTTGTAAAAAAAAATTTTTCGGGGCGTGGTGACAGCCACGCCCCCTTTTTCGAGATTTTAGGGGTTATGGGCTCGCAAAAATTTTGAGAAGCACCCCAAAATTTTTTTCGGAGTGCGTGGCTAACGCTACGCACCTTCATTTGAAAAAAATTTTTGTCGCCCCCCTGAACGGAAATCCTGGGACCGCCACTGATGGCCCCTTATGGCTACTTCCACTTTATACACAAAATTTCTTTGCAACGTAATGCCTTAAACTTCGTCCATAAAGGCGTCCAGCAAATTAGGAAGACAGTTTAAAGGGCCGCATGTATTGACATCCGTGCCGAATAAAGGATCGCAGCTTAGAAGAAAGCTTCATATTCTGAAGCTCCAGATATGTTAATTTCATTCTGTCTATCTATTCTTGAGCATTTTTGCTATTTTTCACTATGAACATAATCAACAGGAGCAGAAGTTGTACAAGCCGTATTTCTTAGCTTTTTATACAGGGCTTATCAAACGCAGTGTCGCTTGCATCAGCATCTCCACTCTCACGCTGGCCTCTGCATCTCTTCCGCGAACATGCTCTTGATCACTTTCCCAGGGAGAGCGTGGAAAAGGTGGAGCTTCAATCGATTGGAAGTGATTAGAGAGCATGTTCGCGGAAGAGATGCAGAGTCCAGCGCGGGAGTAGAGATGCTGATGCAAGCGACACTGCGTTTGATAAGCCCTGTATGATTCCCTGATGATCCCCGCTTTCCCTTCGGGGTCAACTTCCCTTCTTCAAAGTGAATGGAAAGTGCCAAAGTGTTACTGATTATCTGACCAAACAGTACCAACAAGGGAATGGTCAGAGGTCGAAGTGGCCAATCCAAGCAATCTGCCCACCATTCAATGCAGCATTCAACGCTGGTTTCGAATCTGCCATACCTGCTTATCGCCTTTGTGGACGAAGTTATGAGCAGTTTTATTGCGAAAAGATTCTACATAATTGCGAAATTGGACACAGTGTTGCACTTTCAGCCCACCTTTGCGCTTCAAGAATATAAAGTAGCCTAGCTGCATGTTTTGCCCCAGCACTAGGTCGAAATGGCTCTGTACTGCCAAATTTGCGCTTGGCATGCACGATTTCTCAACAAAATAACGGCCTTTCATGGCTCATAACTTTGCCCACATAGGCGATAAGCCTATGTGGAATGCAGATTCGAAGTCAGCGTTTTATGCTGCATCTAGTGGTATGCAGCTTGTGTGGACTGGCCATTCGATTTCTGACCATTCCCTCGTAAGCATGTTTCTGATAAGAATAAATATGTATTAAGCCATGAAATTTGCGACGATCCACCAGTCGAAAGTTGGAGTTCATTGAAAATCTCCATGATCCAATACCTATTTGTTCTTATTAGCAAAATGATTAGCACTGTTGGATTAGATAATCAGCACAACTTTGGGAGGTTCTCTTCAATTTCGAAGGAAGAAAAATGACTTTGAAGAAAAGACTGTCGGCTGCCGGGGATCAGGGGATCACACAAAAGCTAGAAGATGCGGCTTGTACAGCTTCTCGCTCCTTGTTCAATATCGTGAAGGATAATAGAAATACCTTTGAGTTGGTAGACAGCGTGAGATTCAAATATCTGGAGCTCTAGGATATGAAGCTATTTTCCGCTGCGATACTTCGGCGGGAATGCTTGGAAGAATTGAAATTTTGATATCGAAAGAAAGCTTCATTCTGAAGCGCCTTTAGGGTCACATGTATCAACATCCCCGCCGGGGAGGGAAACGGAGTCAGCGAACGCTTGGGGCCGTAGTAATCCACCCTACCTGCAGGCATCTCATGCCCTGAGGTCGCCCTGATGTGGACTTGAGGTCCCTAAAATCTCAGGCTGCCTTCGGGGACCCTCAAGCCAACTGATCGTCTATTTTTTTGTGTTACGGTTCAGTTTTGCTGCCGAAATAGTATGGGAATTGAAAGGAAATCAAAAAAATGTCCTCGTTTGCCATTTATTTGGCCCGAATTGTGAACCTGCCGGCAGGTTCACGATTCTTTTTGTCGAAATTTGAGATGCCATCCAGATCGCAGCCTGCCGGCAGGTCAGAGAGTGCACGAAATAGTATGTTTTTGGTGGAGTGCAACCTGCCGGCATGTGGACGTGCCCCTACCACGTCCAGATGCCGGCATATTTGCCGACGGCGTCTGTGAAAATGCGTCGCGCTGCAATATCACACAATTTGCCTCCAGCAAAAAAGCCAAAAAATTTATTTTCCATCGAAAAACTATCATTTTTGCCATCATATGAGTTCTTCTCCCCCAAATTGATGATATGTACGCACAAAAAACGATTGCTGATATTATAATACCATAAATAACATTTTGCAATTGCTTCAAATCTCATTTGCAACGGTTTCGTCTTTCGTTCGCTCTTATCAATCAGCTGTTTTTTTTTCAGGTCAACGTCCATCGCGCATTGTATTGATCATGCTCACATACAGGAGCTCACCACTTAGGCAGCGTTTCTATAATTGCTGCTGCAGATAGCAGGAACTGAACGAGTGGTCGAATGGTTAGTGCGGCGGCGCCTAAGGTTGATGCACGCAGGTTCGGACCCGCGCAATGTCGCTGTTTTGCGGATATCAGCGGGATCAAAATTTCATGTGCGAAAGAGAAAAACAAATCAAAATACGAGAATCTAAAGCAAGATTTAGCTTGCGCCCGAAATACGAACATGCCGCGAGGTTCGCGAACTTGCCGGCATCTTTGATGCCACCTGGTAGGGTAGATTACTACGGGCCTTGATGTCCTGGAGCGCAGGTGTTCTGGACTCTACACGTTACACGTCTAACTATGCGTAAGTGCTCTACTACCGAAACCTTGACAACTGTACAAGCTGCATTTTCCAACTTTTTGTACGATCCCCGTGATGATCGGCGGTCGACCGTCTTTACTTTGAAGTTGCATTTCTTTCTTCGAAGTCAATGAAAAAAGTTTAAAGCTTATCAATTATCTATTATTAAGACATCGAGATTCTCGATAGACCCAACTTTCGACTTGTAGTTCATCGCAATTTTCATTTCTTCAATACATCATTCGTTTTCGATAATAGAAACATGCTTAGCACTGTTGGTTAGATGATCACTAAAATTTTTCAAAAAATGAACTATTTTCACTAGCTTTGAAGAAGGAAAAATGGCTTCGAAGAATAGATGGTCTATCGCCGGGAACCATCAAAGATTATTGAAAAAAAAACCGTGAAATTTGTTTGACTCCCTTTTGTACATTGCGTTCATAGTGTAGGTTAGTTCAAACACTTGCGAAGAGTCAACCGCATGAAGTAAAACACTGGGAACATTTAGGATATGAGTTCTTTCAAGCTGCATTCCTCTCCCAACGGGGTTGTCAATATATGCGATTCTTGAAATCAGCGTTTAAGTTGATTCAGCGGTATGCAGCTTTTTTGGATGGGCCACTCTGGCTGGTCGAAAATTCAGTCAGTGTCTATTTGTGTCCCGATACCCGAGTTGTTTATGTGCACAGCTTCTTATTATTAGATACTTTTGTATAATACTTTACTTCCAGGAAGAAGTGGAGCTGGGAAGGAAGTCCGTAAGTAAACTAGCAGCCTAATTTTGCACTGTTTAGGGAACATTCAAAAATTTTCAGTAACCAATGGCCTCACTCCTGTCTGGGAAGATGGTGTTAATGGCAATGCCGATGGCATGGATGCTGTGGCTAAATCTGCTGCAAAGTTTATGATTGTTGTGAGATAGTTTACAATTTTCAGATTGTATACTGTCACTAACGTTTCTACAGCTTGATATAAACTCCGACAACATAAATCAGACGTACTTTTCCTACTTCAAAACCAACGCGATTCCGAGAGTACGACAACCCCCACTGGACTGCAAGACAGTCGAGTGTCTGAGCAATACCGGTAAAACGGTAATGAGCGTTGGAAAGGTAATCATCAACCATCTAATGACGTAGTTTGTAGAATGGATTGTTTGCGAGGCAGTTACATGACACTTTCTATGCGTATGGTTTGGGTCTAACACGAGAACCGACGTACTATCATGATGCTGAGAACATCACGAATGCCATGGGAGTGGATTTTGCAGGTGAGAAGATAGTAAAGCAGTAAGGCAGGGCGGGGGAGGGAAGTTATTAGGTTGAAAAGAACAGAATGCCGTTATACATGGCAAAGCAACAAGATAAACCTGAAACAGTATGAGGAGTACCATTCGATAGAGCGAAGCAAATTTTACAAGAAAGCCTTCAAAAATTGTTGATCGCCATGTCACCATAAATCGCATCTTCGCAAAATCTTAAATTTTTTGATTGCTCTTGCATGCAGCAGATAGATGCATTCGTGCATAAAGACAGTTGCCAAATTTTTTTCGTGTATCAAAATGCAAGAGAGATTGACAAACTGGCATGGCAAACTCCATTACAATGAGCTGCTCTTGTTCATGCAGCTGTATACTACGAACTTTTGCAACTTTGACTTCGAAGTTTCGTAGTTGTACATGCTCTAGTTCCTGAGAAATATCATTTTTAGTCGTAAAGAAATTCAGAAAACGACATTCTTTTCTTTCCAACTTGGCACATCTCCTATAAACGATTTTTATTGGAGTTCCATTTTCATAACAATTTTTCGTTTGCGAAACCATTCCAGCTTAAGCTGCAACCAATCGTTTCATCTTCAGACCGGTTTTCTGTCTAGCTCTTCACAAGATTTCAGAGTAGTCTGGAAATTTTGAACTCAGAGATAGTATACAAGCAAATGAAGTACCGAACCTACTCTTAAGTACCAAGCGTACTTTCCATGGGAAAGTGAATCATAAGTTCTAGTTGAAGTCACAGCTGATATAGATACTGATAGAGTAGGAAAGCGGTAGGGCAGGGTGGGGGGAGGGGGAGGAAAGGGAGAGTCACATCTGCTGCAGTCAGGGTCAAGCATGGAATGTGGCACACCACACCTAAGGGATCACATTGGGGGGTGGGGTAAAGGGAAGGAGGTCGTACTAGAGGTGATACCGATGTCGACGATAACATGTTGTTCGTTAACATATCAGTAAGTTGTAATTAGCATGGCAAATAGCCCTTGTGGACCTAGCGCAGACCTAGCGTGTTACTGCAACCCAATATTTTTCACAAAATTAAAACACGAAGAACTGCTGTATTGCCTTCTAGGAGAAATAAATTAGATTTTCTGTGAAGAGAAGGAGGTTTAGCGGTCTCAACAAATCGAAAAACACGATGTTTGAATGCATTGAAGGTAAGTTGATGGGGTTGGCACAACCTCAAATAGGTGTAACACCCACGCTTTTTTTTTCCTCGTGTCCCACCCCATTATGTTGTTACGAAGAAAATTTTGGTGCTGGATGGCGAGGGTCACCGTTCCAATAATTTTGATAGGCGCGAAAGGAGAGGTCGATTTGTCCTCTCAGCAGGGTATAGATATTGCCAGAGAACCAGGCAGAACGCGAAGAGAACGCTCTTGGGAGTTTAAACGAGCCGTCGAAAAAAGAAGGATCTCCCCTCTTGAATAGAGAAGTGAGAAACCTGCTGAAAGGGACAAATCGGGTTGAAGCCCCGTTGCTGTGTAGCGAAACCGTTATTGGGCTCTTACAAGTTTTTGCTTGTCTTTACTTTGCCCCCTATGATGAATCTGTGCTCGAACCCGTGTTCTCCATCGATCGGAACTTGCCACTGGACCACCCCCGATACAAAGAAGCTGAGGAGAAGCAAAGGCAAAGGAGAAGGTGATATCTCCCATTAAGACATACGGCCGAAGTAAAAGTAGAGTAAGCCCTGGCCAAAGGGAGCACAGGAGCACTAGTGGAAGCATCTAGGAAGGGCATTGACAAGCGCCCACTCAGCAGCCATGATATCAGGAGAGTGTGCGAAGAGGCACAGTAAGAACAGCCAAAGTCAAGAAAGACATGGAAGAACATTTACGCCAGAAAAGTCCTGTTACGTTCTGGAGCACTCCCATTACCTAGAGTCCGAGCGCCACTAGACCACCCTTTGCATTAGCGAAACTTAAATAGTTTGACAGCTTAAATTTCGTAGTTCCTACATGAGAAATCAAAGCCTAATCAGTCTTCTTAAATTCAATTGATGATAGCACAACCACTGAAAACGAGATGTGGAACAAACGAGGTTGGCTAGCTTTTAATTCCATAGTTTAGCGGCTATTTGCAGTGGAATTTTTGGTAGGCAAAAATGATGCAAAGGAGCTCACTTTTGAGTTGAAATTTGAGATGTTCGAAAGTGACCATTTCACTAGCGTGGCTTAATTTGGAAACCTCTCAACATCGTGTTTACGAACAAGTTGCTCATGTTTGCGAAACCACTCTATCTTATGCTGCAACTTGAAGGCAGCGTTCAGGCAAACTTCGACTTCCATGCTTTCGTCATCTCGAGCCTTTTCATGACCATTCCACATCCAAGAATTAAATCCGAACCCCGAAAAGCCCCTTCTTGGAAACCCCAGCAATAAGAGTAATCCGACGTTCATTTACTGCGGTGCAACGTGAAAACATTACATTCCGTTTATTACAGACAGATGTACCTTACAGATGCAACGTGAAAATGGTACGTGGTACAAGTAAGCTCGTCCACTTAGGTGTTTGGGGTGCAGAAAGTGTTAGGGGAGCTGCCGTATCCTGAAAGTGTTAGGGGAGCTGCCGTATCCTTGAAGCAAAAGAAGTCGAATTTTCCAAGCAAAGCCAATGAGTTACTATAGCTAAGGGGGAAGGGGGAACCTTTGAGCCGTATCAAAATCTCGGATAAGCCGATTTTGCCCGGACGCACCTTTAAGGACCGCGCATCTGTCTTGCTCTTCCCCAAAAAATTGCAGTAGTTTTGGAAATACTGGAACCGGAGAGGTATCCAAACAAGTACCTGGACACTACCATCGAGCATCATGTGTCTTATGCGGAATCACGATAAAGAGTCCCATCTTGAGTCGCAGATTATCTAATACAACTGATACATCCCAATTTCTGTGTTACAACTGTTCTTATTACAAAGCAACAATCTGCGTGTTTGGATACGTGCGAAAGCTTGGAATTGAACTCTGACCAAGATTCCAAAAAAAGAGGAAAAACCAAAAACATTAAAAATGAAGTCGCAAAATCAACGCAGAGTTGCCAGAATTGCCCGTGCTCCAATGCTGTACCAGCCATGTCAGCTGCGTGATATTGCGCCGGAATCTATTTGCTTGCCCCCCCCTCCCATAACATAGATTTACGTTCCTGCACCATGCTAGCACAGCGCTGGCACGGCGCGGAAACGCCAACTAATGCAGTCACGGCGCCAACACGGGCTGCTCTGGACGCAGCCTAAGCTAAATAAGGGTTTTTGAAGTTTTTTTAGTAGAGTTATCGCACAGCAATTCGAGCCTTTTTTGACAGCAGTCATACAGATTTTGGTTTTTTTTGCACGCACCATTGTTTGAACTGTACTGTAGAATCGTAGTTCGCACTGAATGGCCACAGATCGCATCGATCTTCATACAATAGTTCTACAATGTATAAATTTGCTGATGCAGTTGCTCACCGCCTCAATTTATTATTGTTTAGGTCTTACTGGACAGATAACAATGACAGAAAATAATACCCGAGCAGCCGACTTTATGCTGTATTTCCTCGACGCAAATATGAAGCAGGACGTCTACATGCAGATGACCTATCTGGGCACATCCAAATTGGTATATAAATTTTATACTTTACAGTATGTTAAAAAAACCTTGTCCCTCTGACTGTTGAGTTTCTGCTTACTCAAAATATGCTAACCGCACCTGCCCAAAGCCTCCCACGCATTTTTCAGCGCATGGCGTTACGTTCGCGGAGCAAATCTTAGGTGGGTGGAGCGCAAAAAGATTCTCCGAATTTCAGGTCCATTTTCTCCTTTTGGAGCTAAAGTGACTGAACCAACGTAGTTGGTATACTTCTAGGGCCTTCTTGTGGGACCTTATGCACTTCTCTAGATAGCATAGATTCTAAATGAACGCTGCTATTAGATAACATCGACTAGGCCTCTATGCTATAGAGCGGAACGAATCTTTCTGGGATTTTAGAATGAAGAGGATGCTGATAAGAAACGCTCTGCAAAGCATCTGCTATTTGTAAACGAGTTTAAAAATTTGGAAATACTTGTTGAATTTTTCCTTGACCACTCGTCCTGCCCAGAAGGTACTGAATTAGATTTTGATGAAACAAGGTTTGAAATGTAACAACTATCTTATCAAAACTTATATCCCCAAGTATTCAGAGGCTGTGTGCAGGGAGACCGATGAAATCTCAGAGCCGCGGCAGCTATGAGAAGGAAATAAAAGATTAACAATAATTGTTAGTTGGAAACTCTGATTCTTGTAACCAATCAATCTCATATTTCTCTTTTTGAAAAAATGCTCGTTTTTTGCTTTATATTAAGTTGTCCCGAAAGTTCTGTCGTATTTTTGAAAATCTATAATTTTTCGCTATCTCGACGATTTGCTTCTATAAAACTTTATTGGAAAGAAGAAGTCTTTTTATTATAAACCTATTTCCATGAAATTCTACTAAACATTTACGGCAGAGATAGAAATGGAAAAATAAAACCATTTAGGATCTAACCATTCAAAAATAGGTGCCAGAAATCAGGGACATTGTAGATGAAATTGTCAGTAAACCTACACTTTGCAACTGAAAAAAAATTTGCACTGTTTGAACATCTCTCGGAAACGCTGTGGATGTCGAGTTCACAATACAAAACACCAATATTGATTAATTCGTCACTTCTTCAAGGAGTTGTAGCTTTTCAAGTGACATCCAAAGAGCACAGACTTCTCATTTGCAGTGAACCAGATTTTTGCAACAATCCACATTTTTGATGACCTAACTTAGAATGAGAAATCAAAACGGCCTTCCTTCTCCATTTGTGTTTCTGCAACAGATGTTTAGTAGAAGCTCATCGAAAGAGATTTACAAATACAACTTCTTAACTCTAATAAAATTACAAAGAAGCAAACTCGTCGAAACAGCGAAAAGAATGAAACGACAGAATTTCCGGAGCAACCTAATATATTTTCTTCCGACTTTGCAAAGCTGCACACGTTGGACGCCGTCTTATTATTATTAGCCATAAATCAGATGTGCCAAACTTGAATTCCGAGATACATGATCCCCAACCCTTTTCTAAGTTTCTGAATGCGGCAGTAGCAGACTAATATTTGTGATCCGATTCGTCACTGAAAGGCTTTCAAATTTCCTCAAAATGAACCTTCGTTCCAGAATATCACCTTATTCTTTGACGACGAGCGAACCTCTATCTGGGCATCAAGGAGTGGAGCTAGGTAATTTTTCTTAAACTTTTCTCCTTGACTGCTACAACTCACAAGGTTTAAGAATTCTACGAATGTCAGAGCTCTTTCAAATGACGACCTAAAGCTCATCTTGTGGTTTATAGCAGGTTTGAGTTCTCTTGAACTTTCCAGGCCAATATCGGTACCAATCTGCGGCTTTTCTGGAACAGATTGCCCTAAGGAATTCTGGAAAGAATATGCGTTGTACGTCGGAATAGCTATAGCATTAATAGTTATCTTCATTGTTGTCATCGCCTGCTTGCTGATTCACTTTATCAGGTAGATTAATAATCTGGAAAAATTGAAATGACCGTTCATATAAAGACCAGAAAATTTTCAAGAGTAGCTATATTTTCCAAAACTTGCTTATATTTCACTTCCAACTACGAATTTCGTCTTTGATGGTAGTTAGCCTAAAGCTGCAATGGATTGATAATTTCAAAAAAAAATTAATTAAGTTTGCAGAGAAAGACTGCGTGCTCAACAACGTTTGATGGATGAGTGGAAAATCGCATACAGCAGGATTACGCTTGTTACAGCTAAGGTAGTCATATTCTGTAACTGTAAGATTGGCTTCTACATAGTCATTGTTTTCAGGAGCTCGAGAAAAATACCAGAAGTTATCGTTCTCTACAATCCGGACCATCCACAATGACAGCCAGTAGCGTTTTTGAGAATGAGGATAGTATCTTTACAGCTGCTATTCTCGACAAGGATCCTGTCCTGATCACAAAACATCCTCCCACCATGCTGTCGAAGACATTCTACGAGAACTGTTATAAGGTAAAATGTGATACGACTAGACTAAAGGCATTGTCCCGACATATGTGGGTCCTTGAGACTCCCTGAGTGCATACTAATCATAAGACCTTAGCAAGCATTGCCTGAGCGACCGCTCATATGAACAATCGGTGACTGGGAATCCCAACTATAAATTCTAACCCAGACCTTGATCTTAAAGTTGGGCTAATAAGCTTTCTGGTACAGATAGGAAGCGTGGTTCAGACAACCTATCCAAATTTACCTAAAAGCTTGATCACTTCCACTCCATGTGAAGAAACGATTTTGAAGCTGTCAAGAAAATTGTTCCGTTTTTGCCTTCGATTTTTTTCATAGCCGTAAACACGAAACTGCACACGTCTACGTAGTAAGAAAACAACTTCGAGGCAGTGTCCCAGCAAATCTAACATCTCGACTTTTCTGCACAGACTTGAGCTCCAAAACAGGTGAAAAGACCTTTATCAGTGGGTTTACCTTTTGAGAAGGTCGGACGAGAGTTTACGTAGAAAGTCGGGAGGCCTTGGCAAGATCTGCCGCTTGTAAGTTTACACTAAATGGCACGCACAATGCAGGAGCAGCCGTGGTGGTCCGGCGTGGAATAGACAAACTGAATCGTCCAAGCGCGCGCCGATTTGAGGGCAGTTTGTCGGCGCAGTGGTAACATCATGCAGCTGGGTAGGACCCGAAGGTAAGCGGGGGAAGGGGGGGGAAAGGTGCATGAATCTCACCACACCTACATCTCGCCAGACTCGAATCTGATTTTAAAGTTCGGAGTCCAAGATTGTGCACTTGTTGCAGCTGCGCAAGCTGGACCATGACAACATGAACAAATTCCTTGGCTTCTCCTTCGATGGTTTGGATCACGTAGCTGTCTGGAAAATGTGTCCAAGAGGCAGTTTATTGGTACGCTCTTTATTATATATTATGGATAAATAGATCACACTTATAAATTGAAGCATTTCATTTGCAGGCTGTAATCTCCAAATCTGCCCTGTCTACAGATTCGTTTTTTGTACAATGCATCATTCGTGATGTGGCAGAGGTAAATTTTGAAAATTGTTGTAAGCTTTTCCCTCACTAAGCAACCTCCTGATTCTTCTATCCATTATCACCCCTACTGCGAATACTCTCCTACAAGGGTTCTCAATCCTGCCATTCTTTAAGATCAAAAACACAACAAAATGTTTGAAAGTCTCTCTAGAAAATCTCTAAAAATAAGTCCAATTTATTATTCCTAAAAACAATTCTTCAAGGGCCTCAACTTCCTTCATCGCTCTTTCGTCGGTTTCCATGGTCGTTTGACTTCGGCATCCTGTCTTCTTACCGATACTTTCCAAGTGAAAATCTGCGATTATGGAGTGTCAGAACTGACCAGAATTTTGGAAACAAAGCGTAGGTGATTCACGATGACGAAGTGGATATAGTGCTAGAATTTGCAGATAAACTTTGGACAGCTCCCGAAGTGCTTAGAGCCAGTGCACCACCTAATACCAAACCTGGAGACATCTACTCATTCGCCATAATCGCAGCGGAAGTTATTACTAGAAGACCAGCCTGGTTACTGTATGGTGACAATATGCATCCTGAAGGTTAGGCAAAGCGAGCACTAGCACTTATGCAAATGCCAAATCAATTAGATTTTTCGGCAAATGAAAACATGCATAGCATAACATCAGAAGAAATCTATAGAACACATAAACAATCCTCGTGGAAGTCATAAAATAGAGCACGAGTTCTTTGTCAGATTGGCAACCACCATCTCAAATTATGAAAAAAGAAGCATAGCGAAGAGCAAATAATAAAGAACTTGCTTTTCTGTTAGCAACAATATTCAATAACTTTTCTCAATAATTACGCTTATTACTGCATAATTTCATTTAGACATCATCATCAGAATCAAAAAGTCGGGATCCACTCCAACTCGTCCTATATTACAGCTAGATATGCTCGACGTTCCAGCTGAGCTAGTAAGTACAAACATGTATTCGAAAACTGAATATAATTCTCTGTATATAATTTACACACGCAGGTCACATTGGTGCGCAGCTGCTGGAGAGAAAATCCGGAAAGTCGACCGTCGACAGATCTGATATGTGAGCAGATTAGGGAATTTATGAGGACTGCAGGACAAACAAACCTTATGGATCATGTATTCGCCATTCTGGAAGAGCACACAGTTTCCTTGGAGCTGGAGGTGAGCAAGAAACTAGTTTTTATGATAGAATAGGCCCAGCCGTTTGCTATGGAGCACAATGGGGTGGTATCAGAATTATGCTGTCACACATGAAAATTAAATTTTTTGGGGCAGGTGAAATATGATGCAAGCAGTTTTATTGCTGCCATTGAGTTCTAAATTAGGACTTCATGAAAATCTTTGAAATCAAGCCATTACTGCATTCAGGTTGAAGATCGATCTAAAGAACTTGTCGAAGAAAAAAAGAAAGCAGACCTTTTGCTTGGACGCATGTTGCCGAAGTCGGTCTTAAAACACAGAATTATTTATCATCAAATATTGAAAATCACCTTGATTTGTAGGCAAGTAGCTGAAAGGCTAAAGCTGGGTCAATCCGTGGAACCTGAAGGTTTTGACAGTGTGACTGTCTTCTTTTCTGATGTTGTCAAATTCACCCAACTTTCAGCAAAATGTACTCCTTTCCAGGTAAACTAAATAAGTCTCAGAGAAATTTATGGCTTAAACTGTAATTAAGGTTGTCAACCTTCTGAACGATCTATATGGCAACTTTGATACGATTATTGAAGAGCACAGCGCTTATAAGGTAAGATTGTTCAGACTAGTTTTTGAAAGCTGAACCGCTCTTGTACTACTACTACCTTTTTTTACAGGTAGAATCTATAGGTGATGGCTACTTATGCGTGTCGGGACTCCCAACTAGAAATGGCTTCGAACATATCAAAGAGATTGTAGAAATGTCACTTGGCTTTATGGAGTACTGCGCCAATTTTAGGATAGGTTGGCTTCCTAGAGAACGAGTTCAGCTCCGAATTGGCGTCAACAGTGGTAAGAATGAAAAAAATGTTCGTAATCTCAAAACTGAATAATTTGGGATAGGCCCATGCGTGGCAGGAGTTGTCGGACTGAGCATGCCTCGCTATTGTCTTTTTGGTGATACGGTAAACACAGCGTCTCGAATGGAAAGCAATGGAAAACGTAAGATACTGCTCCCGATTACTATAATTTTTGGCACAGTGCATCTCCTTCAGTTGTAATTGAAGTGCAGATGAGATTTTTTAGCTGGAAAAATTCATCTGAGTGGAAATGCGTATGCATTACTGGAACGTCATTATGCTGGACTCTACGATACCGAAAGCCGCGGTGACGTCATCATAAAGGTATCAATAATTACCAAAGCAATTCTACAGATTTCTTGTCCGTTCCAGGGAAAAGGTGTTATGGAAACTTACTGGGTTCATGGCCGCCGTGGAGAGTATGCAAATGCTTATCGCAATGAGGATGAACATGAAGAGAAAGAAGAAAAAGCGATGATAGATGTACACGCGAGTAAGAGCATCGACGACATCGATGTCGTCGAACCTAATAATGCCCTTTATAGGGAGTACAAACTCCAGAACACGTGATAATGACCTAGACGAACTAAGTGGTTCAGACTGAAACAGAGATTACTCATCTTTATGTCTGCAGAATCTCTATGACGTATCATATGTGTTAATTGCTGTTTTCGTCTCATCTTGTCTCTACTTCTTGCCTAGAACAATGAAAAAGTAGTAATGTAATAGCTTGCTGATGTTGTATGTGTACTCTCAAGCTTTTAATTACATTCCATACGGACATAATTATATTAAATAATTTTCGATGGTTATAGTGCGGTATTAGAAAATGGAATTGAATCTTTCAAGCAGCGGGAATTTTGCAATGAAAGAAGAACCTATGGCGTCTGCAACTAGTCAGTGACCGGTTTTGTTTTTACAGCTGCTCCAATTGTCGACGCATACAAAGTGGAAAATTTGACTCAAATGTCTCATGCAATAAAAAAAAGTACATAGTTGTGGTGGCCTTTACTTTTACAGTTTTACAGACTAAAATTCTATGAGAACGGCATAGAAGCAGAGCCAAGCAAAGAGGTTCCAAGAAGTTTCCAAGGTTCCAAGAGGCGGATTTTTCGATGCAGTTTATCAAACTTGCTGGCGGACGGTATCTTGGGAGCTTACCTTATATCCTTAGATATGTGTTCGTAAAAATGCAGTGTTAGATAAATAGTGTCATTGGGAAGAAGTTTCAAGTTTTGAGTAACATTGTCAAAACCCTATAAAGAGTAGTATGTTGCGACTTGGTGAGCCCAGCACAGCTAGTAAATATGCTCGACTGCCAAAATACAAGATAACCCTTCCCTAGGAACTTCCGTTCGACGTGCACTTCGGCTCACTTTGCGCTTGAACAAACGCATGACCAATCAGAGTTTGTAAAAAAACAGTTTCGCGTACAAAACATATATTAGGGTGAACGGTAAAGAATGGGACACGAATTAACTGGAGATTTCTCAAGAAAGAAAAGTGATTAGACTTTCCATTTATTAGAGATGTTAGATATGTTATTCTCTTTCAAACAGTACCTATATAAGGTCAATTACATAATAATAATTTTTATACTTGCTGAAATGCAAAGTTAGTCACTTCGATAAATTATGAACTTTGAGCAGTATCGCGCAATGAAACATGTGAGACCACCCAAAGTACCACTGCTGGAGTGGGTAGTGGGACAGTCACCAAACCGACGGCTTGGTGGCCCCAACATTCAAGGTCAGAAAACACGGCCGTTAGCAGCTTCGAGAACAAAGATGCACGTTGTACGATTTTTTGCAGGTGATCGCATGTTTTCTAAGTACCATCTGACAGAGTTTTTTACGCTCTGTCCATCCATATGCAGCTTACCTCAGATTTTATCTATCTTCGGAAAATACAAGGCAAAACATGATTTTCTGGGTTTTTTGCGCCAAAAATAGCTATTTTTCAGGTTATTTCGCTTCCTCCCCCCCCCCCCCCCTCCCACAATGGTCGGTCGCCTCATCGTGGAGTGGGGGTGACACTGGGTGTCGAACTGCGATGCACAGCCGAGTGTATACTCTGGTAGGGCCTCCCAAACTGTGAAGGAGTTCGACGTTTCCGGTTTCGGCCGGATGCCTAGCTAAGAACCAGCCACGCCACACCCCCGCCGTCTGGCTTCTTCTGGTCGCTAGGCGGTCTCTTCCCGCTCTAAGCCCGGGGTCAGCGATCGCTCCGTGGAAGTCAAGAGTAGGCCTAGTAAGTCTGCTCCTGTAGGGGAAAAATTTCATTATTTCTTCAGTTAGAAGATTAGAAAGAACCCTTCACATCGTATCCCGCCTACGGCGCCGGGTGGTAGCAAGAACGATATCAGGGTACTCAGGGCGCCTTTCCGATTGGACAAAAACGACATTCCTGCCCGGACGACACGCCATGGAGACTGCCTCATGCTCTGCACCTCAACGACAGGACAGTCTCCACAAACGCCGACCTCCACGCTCTTCTCGACGCTACAGAGCACATCAACTACCACATCATCGCTCTGCAGGAAACGAAGTCCAGGAAGAAGGACGTGCGACAGATGAGTGATGGGACCCTCATCATTCGTGGTGAAAAGGTTCCATTACGAAACGTGGGAGGCGTCGACTTTGTCGTCCATTCATCTATCGTCCATCTTGTCGATTCGCACGAGATCCTATCACCTCGACTAAGCATCCTACGACTATGCCCTCCACGTCAGAAGACCATCAGCATCATCAACTGCTACTCTCCAACATCAGCAGCTGACGACTCAGAACTAGATACTTTCTACGAAGACGTGGAGGAGGTCGTCCGCAACGAAAAGTCCTTCTACAAGTATGTTGTGGGCGACTTCAATGCGAAAATCGGGATGCCACTAGAAAAGGAATATAGGATCGGGAAGTTTGGATATGGGCTCCGAAACGAAAACGGCAACCGTCTCGTTGGGCTTCTCTCCGCCGCACGACTCTTCCATGGGAACTCCATCTTCATGAAGAAAGAACATCGCCGGTGGACTCGCCCAACGGAACGAATCATGCTGAGATCGACCACATTCTCATCAACCGAAGGTGGAGCTTACTCGATGTGTCTGTAGTTCCATCCTTCTGTAGTGGCTCCGATCACCGCTTCCTTCGAGCGAAGATACGACTCAGCCAAAGGCTGGAAAAGAAAGTCTGTCGTAGTGCCGCGAGAAGGAAGGAAGTCGTTTATGACGGTAACAGGCTGGAAGAGCTCATATCAAGATGTGACTGGCCCATCGAGGAGGACCCAACGTACGACTACGACCGGCTTCTGAAAGGATTGCGAGCCTGCGGAGAATGCGCTTCAGTGACTTCTGAGAAACTTGGAGCGCATTTCGAAGACCACCAAGGAATTGCTCGAAAGAAGAAGATTTTTGAGGCAAGATCCGAATGCAACCCATATCGAGCGACTGATAGCCAACGCCAGTTGCAGAACAGCTTTGCAGGGGATCTCAAGGAGTACAGGCAAGCCAAGATACTGGAAGCGGCCGAAGGAAGACGAAGTCTCAGGAAGTGCCGAAGGGACCTCTGTGAATATCACTTACCGCTGGCTGCACTATTGAACGAAGACACTCAGACTTCTTGCCGATATAAGATGGGATCTATCGCGAAGAACTTCTATAAGAACCTTTTCCGCTCATCAACACCCTGCCGATGCCCGTTGATCCCACTGGAAAAGTACACCCACGAATTCTACCTGCTGAAGTGCGTATCGCGATACGGACCATGAAGACGTCCACGGCTCCAGGACCAGATCATCTTTCCGTCGAACTTCTGCGAGCCGGAGGACACCGACGAGGTTCTAGCGTCGCATTTGACATCTTACCATCCTACCTTCAGAAGGAGAAGATTTCCGACAGTGGAGAACGTCGAGAACCATCCTTCTCTTCAAGAAGGGTGAACGGGAGAATCTTCGGAACTATCGTCTATGCCTGCTGAGTGTGCTGTACAAGCTTTTCACGAAGATTATCCTCGCTCGCATATCAAGGACACTGGATGAAGCCCAACCCCAAGAACAAGCTGGATTCCGCAAAGGATTCAGCTGCATGAACCACATCCAGACCGTTTCGAGGGTCATAGAAGTCTGCCGGGAGTACCGACTGCCTCTCGTCCTAACCTTCTTCGACTACGAGAAAGCCTTCGACAGCGTCGAAACCAACGCCACCCTGTCAGCGCTAGTCGATCAAGGAGTGGACCCAGCCAACGTGAGGAACTAGCCAACTGCTACAAGGACTGTACAACAACGATGCAGCTGTTCCATCGCCCCCTGACCATACCAATCCGAAAAGGCGACACAATCTCGCCGAAGCTGTTCACCGCGGCCTTGCAGTGGGTGATGAAGTCACTGGACTGGGACGAGAGAGGCATATGAATTGATGGGAGATTCCTGTCCAACCTTCGTTTTGCGGACGACATCGCTCTCTTCTCGAGCAGTATCACCGAAGCAGAGACGATGCTGAAGGAACTGAACGAAGTAGGGAAGAAGATCGGACTGTGAATAAATCGGAAGAAGACTCATTCATGAGGAAAGCCCTTTGCGAAGACGCAGTAGTGGAATTGGAAGGCACCCTTATTATGGAGACGTCTTCTTACGTGTATCTCGGACGTTCGATGAACATGGAGAACTACCTTGAGGGAAGAACTTGACAGGAGAAGAAGAGCAGCCTGGGCCGCCTTCGGGCCTCTGAAGGAAGCCACCAATTAACTGACGGATCCGGAGCTTCGTGCCCACCTATTCGACTCAACCGTTCTCCCGGCGCTCTGTTACGCAGCTGAGACTTGGGCCGACACTGTAGCCACGTCGAAAGCTTTACGGACCACCCACAGAGCGCTCGAGCGCAGTTTTCTGAAGACCCGACGCAAGCAACATCTAGTCGGACTTCGCAGCACGGATATGAGAAGAATGTCCCGTCTTCGTGACCCAGCGGATTACGTTGTGAAAGCGAAGCAACGATGGGCCGGTCACATTTTGAGAAGAACAGACGACAGATGGACACTAAAAACATCGGAGTGGATTCCTCGCGAAGCAAAACGTCCCCGAGGAAGACCACCGACGAGATGGGCAGACGTGTTCGTGGAACGGATGCACCAGCTGATTTCTCAGCTGGATACGAATTTCGCTCCTGGAACTCGTGGACGCAGCCATTGACGACGGCCAAGAAGATCGTGGATGTCTGAAGCGAGGGACAGGGAAAAACGGCAACTTCTGTACTGGGGCCCGCACGTCACGTGATGACGGACCATCTAAGTAAGTAAGTAAGTATTTCGCTTTTTCTAAAATTGAAAAGAAATACCGTGCATTTAACATATCGTTTAAAGAGCATGAAGAGCTCTTTTGAACAGTGTGTCATTTGCTTTACGACTTCATGGTATAGCAGCGTAAGATTGAGAATTGTTTCAAAACCCTGTCTGAGTTCTTCACGCCATGCGCACGGTCATAAGAGAGGAGCGGTAACGCGTTGCCAGAATAATAGGCGAAGGTCGATTATGTGGGCGACGTTTGAATTGCAGCCTGCTTTTTGTTGGTGAGAACAAAAA